GATAGAAGCAGTAACGTAGTGTGACCAGTAATAATTATCATAATCGCTGGCACACTACTCAATCTGTGTGCGTATATGCAATAGACGCTGACATTTTATCAACGTCTAGAATTTCTAGATTCTTTGACTATCAATACAAAATCTTTTTAGCTGCGCGAGCTGCTGTCGCGGATTAATCGACGCATCGCTCATCGTTAATTTTCTTTTCAACTTATACATGTTTAATAATTATAGAGTCGCAAATGGATCGAACGAGAAGCTTTTTGTCATTTGATTGACATGTCGAAAGCATTGATAACATTAGCTAGTCCTGTGCACCGCATTCGCGCACAGTCGGAAAATTTGTGTTTTCTTGTTTAAAAAGATGCCGGTTAAAATTTTTGTGTTAAAGATTTAACACATTCACGTGTTAATTTAACATATTGCTCTTGCGTTAATTGACGTCAAATGTAAAATTATTAAAATAACTGAAAAGAAATGGTAAACAACACAATGCGTACGTTATTTTTTAATCTTACACAATACTTATGTTAAAATTGACATAATAAAATGTTGATTTTATTCTATATAACATAAGTGAGAGCGATTTCAAACCGTCATTTCACTTATTACACCTGTAAAATGTAAAAATTACATTTAAAAAAATTTATTTTGTCATTAAAAATATGTTAATTTTACACCGAATTTATCTGAAATTATTTTGAGACTTGCATTTATTTTGTGTTACAATATTAACAGAGTATTAGTATGATCATTTAACATATCCATATTATGTTAAATTAACACAAAAATTTGTGTGAACCGTTTGGGACGTGTGACATCTGTTAAATTTAACACAAATTTTTCAACTATGCGTTTGCCACGGCAAGACGTACTATAGAACGAACGTGTAATTCCTATTTGGAAAGCAAGGTATGCCTCTTCGAGGACGCGTGTTCGCGTCGTGCTGCAATCGGACACGCTCGCGTACTTCCGACGGAATGTGTTGGATTAAAGGCGTGAACATTCGCATAAAAAAATGTCAGGCCGCAAGAACATTCGTAGATATGCAACGCCGATACATCTCGGTGTTTAAAATTCAAATTGGGACTTGAATTACGATGATCACGCTACGATATCAAAATTATTGTTATTAGCAGAGACTATTGTTGTCATGAAAGGAAGAAGATCGATGCCAATGCGATACAATTGCCTTCTATCGATCGCACTGCGTACGCTTGCAAACATGTAAACAATGAAATGACTTCGTCAATAGAAAGAACGCGATAAATCGATTTAAGTCGATTTGAATATTATCTATATACGCAGAAAAGCGTAGTGAAAAAACAAGAAAATCTCGACGAGCTATTTATTTAAATAATTGTTTTATGTACGGATAAAAATATAGAAATTATTATTACATTCCTTATTGTCTTGAGATAACCAAGACACTTTATTTCCTTGACATTTTTTCTTTCATAGAAAAGAAATAGTCTTCTAAATATATTACTTCTGTAATTTCTAAAGACTTTCCGACGTACTTTCAAATAAATGTTCACGGAGACAAACTATACATTTTTAAGAAGTCTGCTTTATCAAAAAACGAATCCCTAAAATATTTCCAAGCTTGTCATACAGACAATCAGTATTCTTCTTTTTTGATTACCTTTTTACTTTGGCCTGATATTTTCATTATCAGCATCTTTTTGTTCCAAGAATGTCTCCTGGTCATTTACTGTTTGAACTCTATTGACATCATCTTCCGACACGAATTATTCTCGAGATGACCCGCTGCGTTATTCGAAAGTATCGAAACGTCGAGATTAGCTGGATCTCTTTTGGAGTCGGGCTGGTTTCTTGCTCTCCTGGACCCGTCGGCAATTTGGGAGTCGAGGGGAGGAGCTGACCACCTGCGCTTGCTTCACTTCGGAGCAAGTAATTCTACCTGGCTAAAATCCCGCCGAGGAACCGTCAAGTTATCTTTGGGAGATCGGACAAAGACTCCAGATGGAACTCGTGGGTCCTATGTATTTAGCTTTCGCGTCTTAAAATCACGCGTAAACGCGCATGTTTGTTCACTTTGCGCTCGATCTTCCTCTAGATACAGTCCAATGACGACTGCCACGGTCTGCGCCGATCCTCATCTTTTCTTAAGAAATTTCTCCGGGCCAACAAAGAGCCGCCCATATGGCGCTGATTGAAAAGAACGAAAATTTTTGTGGGGACCGGGGACCGTTTTCTGAATATCTTCTTTCAGTCGATCTCAACGAAACGTATCACGAACGGTACTCAAAACGGTGGGGAATCGTTCTGCTGACGTCAAGCGGATGTCAAGCATAAACGTTATTTGCTTAATTCATATTTTTATATAACTATACAATTATAATTCCAAAGATTGACGCGACTGACCGATCGAGAATTCGAGCGACATTCTATTCCTCGGAGAATTTACAACACGCACAATTGACGCGCTATGCAACAATGACTCGAAATGTTTCTCGTCACCTAATGATAAGAGAATTATCTTACTCAACGCTTTATTTATTTCTCTCGGCAACATGTGCGATCGCCGAGCTGCGTGCAGGGATAAAGGAAATCTTTAACTCTGTGCTCGATTGCAATTCAGTTTTAAAAAATCAAATCGTGATACCAGACAGGTTTTCATGATCTGCAGCTCGGCGATCGCACATGTTGCCGAGAGAAATAAATGAGGCATCGAGTAAGATAACTCTGTTATCATCAGGTGACGAGAAGCATCTCGAGTGATTGCTGCATAGCGCGTCAATGGTGCGTGTTGTAAATACGCCGCGGAATATAATTAACTAGTGTAATAACACTAACAATAATACTAATGACATTAACCAGTCGCCATTTTTTTCCGAAATGCTGACGGAGATAAGATCGCCAGTCTGCGTTTCGATCCGCCATTTCGATTCCTGTTGAGATTCTAGTATCGTCTGGTAGTCGAGTGCTTCTCGGAACTGGTGTGACGCGCGAAAATATTATTCGATTTCAGCATTTGCAAATCGTCCTGACATTTCCACCGCATACCGATGAATTTCTTACACAGGAGGTACGCGTCGCTGATAACTATTCCTCGCGCTCCTTGTATTTGCATCCCGAAGCTGAAGTCCGCGCCAGGAAATTGTTTACGCGGAAAAGCACAAGAGCGGACTCTCGCAATAACTCGCGTAAATCCCGCTCCGAGGATGAATTTGCACGATCCACGTTTGCCGAGTCGGATCAGCACCGGGGACGTAATTCGATGCAAATAAATCCGCTCGATATATCTGGATGATTGAACAACGCGATATTGTTACTTCTTAATTGATAAACATTTCTACCATTGCCATTGGCCGCGTTCAGCAGAAATTTAAGAGCTGTTTCGCAACTGTTGTAAACATCCTGAATCTAATTGGCGTATGCTCTTAATTATGGCAGAATCTAAGCATCTCCAATCAAATCTACGAATTTTACAACTGTTGCAGAGCAGCTTTTTCTGCTGAACGCAGCCATGTCTCTGCTAAAACGAGAAATTCTTATAAATGTTGTCAAATCTTGCGTTTATTGTAAACAACTGATTTTAAGACGCGCGTCGTGGCCGAATAATTGAAAGTAGCGATTGTGTTAAAAACGCTCAGTTAGAAAATCGATCTTCGCACTTAAGCCCGTGTCACACAACCCTCGATAAAAAATACGTGACTGATAAAGGTATACATTGATTAAAAATACGTGGCATAAACGTGCAGCTTTGTTATACAAAAATTAATTAAGCTTAAACCTCAGTGCCTTAGGAAATTCGTCGTGAATTATTTTTAAAAAATCACTGCTCTTTGAGCGACTCTTCGCTTAGATTGTACGCGATAACATTTTATTTCAGCCGATCGACTTTCGAGACAATAATCTCCCTTCACATCAGTTACGAAGTTGTTCGTCCCACGTTTGTAGCCAAATACGTTCACGACCGATGCAAGCAGGTTTCCTCATTGTTTGTGTAACGCTCAGAGCTATTATGTACAAATAATATTACAAGATCATTAAAATAACATTATTGTACTGAAATAATTTATGTACTAATTGCGATTATTCACGATTCTTTTTAGTAAATTGATGCCCAATGTACAATATATAAATACAGATCGATATCGAAATTATGTCGAATCGACAGTGACACCGTCAAATTGATGTCGAGTCAACGAATCATTTCTCACTTGGAATAAAACGGGTCACGAAAAATATAACGATAATAAAAAGTTTTGTGCGATGAAGTATTTTCCATGTGAAATACTTGCTTGTGCCTCTACCCAGATAGCATTCATCGTTCTATGAATATTCTTCTGGAGTGCAAATATTCTTAATTTCAGAATATTCCAATAGAATATCCGATAAATATATATATAGATTATTACAATTAGAAATCGTATATTCATAACAAAGAAGAATGTCTTTAGAACATTGGTCGAAAATTTCTTTGGAATATTTGTTCAGAATAATTTTTTAATATTCATTGAGTTTATGTATTGCACATTGTTCATTGTGTAATACACTTATCTTATGTAAAAGGCAGTGAAACCTGTGATCATTCCATGTATAACCGACACGCTATACAGATTATTCTATTCACATTCGAAAAAGATTTATTGTAGTGCCAGTCGAATGTTCCACGAACATAAGATAAATATATAAGAATGACCTATGGAATATTTCAAATATTCTTGAAGAATATTCTTAAAATGTTCATAGGCGAGTGTCTTGTGCTATCTGGGCAATTACGACGCTATTGCGTAACAACAATCGAGCGATATATCGCGTGTTCAATAACTCTTGCCAGCGCTTGTAAAGTAATATTTTCCATCTTTCTAACGGCTCCTGCGATCTAATGGCCGTGTATAATCATCTAGAACGCGCTGCGTTCATTTTCACCCCCGTTTGTCGAAAGTCCATACCGATCACATATGTGCCCGAAGTCGCGCCAGTCTGTAAACCGTCACGGTTATCTAACGTCAACGTCTGTAGGTGGGGCAGTAACATTGTACAGTAACACGAACAGCGTTGCACCGAAAGCAAGCTCATTCGTTAAAATCCTCGACATCGCGAACGGAGCTAGTGTTTGAATTGTCGCTCGAGTTCGCGTGACACGATTACTTCTGAATATCGTCGGGATGTATTCTTGCACGGAAATTTAACAGTTTCTGTTAAAAGCGTTATTTAAGCGGAAGTTAAAAGTTTCCCGTAAGCCTAAACATTTTTTGAAATAAATTACATTCTGGGTAAGAACTACGACATTTTGCACTTGCGGTAATAAAGCAACGCAGAGCCATTACATCTTATTTTTGCGCCTGCAAAGAGATCTCAAAATAGCACATCCGGTTTGGCGTAAGAAACATTAGTGCAACGATGGAAGGTGTTCCGGAAGAACTTTGCTCTCGTTTCTTTGTAAACCGCACGCGTTTCCGCTCTTGCACTTGATTGCACCAACACGAACGTGACGTCGCGACATAACAACCTGATCTCTTCGAGACTTTGATACAGATTCTTTGTATTACGCTACGTGGGGAGTAACAAAGCGTTATGAACCGGCGTTTATATAAAAAATTTAAATAATTAATATACAAACCCGGTTTACGTAAATTTAATTTCAATAAATTAAAATTATATTTTTAACGCTTACCACATTTATTTGTAAATTGTCCATTTCGATATTCAGCAAATACGTTCCGAAAGGTCCCATAGAACAATGTTTGCTTTGTGTAGTAAATTGACCAGCAGACGTTATTTGAGAACGGACGAGAAAAAGTCTCGCGTTACACAGAGCATCTCAGATGCGTTTTCAGTGGTGTTATTCTAAAAATTTTTAAGACCGTACTAAAAAAGAACGTCACTTAATTATTCTTTTAAGAAACAAAAGATAAGCTAACGGTTTTCATAAGTTTCAATTCCGAAACGCACGACAATTCTGAAGAAAAATTTTAATTGCATTGAATTATTTACGAGAATATAAATTACAATACCATATAAATTTAATTTCGTACTCTTATATATTATTCCCTAATTCTTTACTTATAAAGCAAAACTAGAATTGATAATAAGAAACTCTATAATGTCAAAGTCTATTATGAGCACAAATACATTTGCTAATGCGCCTGAACTACCAGCGAGTATCGTACGTAAGACATCCTTGTCTTATCCAATGACAAAGTCTGATTATTTTCAGAATAAGCCATAATATGGAGAACTCAGCAGCTTGGCTGCTGACCATCTTCGTGGCGGTCGCTGCCGTTATAATCAACGCATCGCCTACTCCGACATCACCTACTACGGTTCGTACGAGCGAGGCGGATGCAATGACTGGCGAAATCGTGGAAACGACGCCGAAGAACAATTTTATAGATTACGCTAGACCCTTCACGAATATGAAGGACATACTGATGCACGAGATCCAGACTCTAGACAAAGACGCTCTAGACAAAGACGATGCTAAGGTAAATGAAAAATTTTCGCGAGAGTGTATTGCGTTCTACAATACCTTTAATTCTCTCTAACGAAATACAAGCGCAGTCAGCTATGTGATAATGCTATATGATAATGATGCTAGTTAAGTATCGACGGAGAATAATTTTCTATCGCTTGCGTCATTGCAATACGTGCAGGATAAATAATACGTTTAAAGAAAAAAAAGTTCTTTAACCAGACATAATTTAAAGAATCGAACTCTTTGGAACACAGTTAATTCTTGTTTTCATCGTACTACTTAATTAAGTATATTTAATTGCGTTAAAAAAATTACTTAGATCCAAGAAGAGGTGGCGAAGACTTTGAAGGCCGAAGCGCAGAGGGACAGTATAAACTTACGAACGAAGACGACTCCCAAGCCGAGTAAGACGATTGTAAAACTAAATTCGATTCTGGATCAAGGTGAGGAATTGAAGAAACTCGAGCCTATGGGCTACGAGGACGACAATAGCTACGAGGATACCGACGACGATCTCAGCGACGAGGAGTACGAGGATGAGGATTCGCGGGTGGACGATAATGAAGAAATCATGACGGAGTGCCCTGATTACTGCAAATGCGTCGGGCAATACGCGTCTGCAACAACTGCAACGTACGTTTCTAATCGGATCATTATATAACTGAATAATGCCCCTTGGCGTTGACGGCAGATAAAGAACTCGTAGATTAGCCGCTTCTTGCTTACAGCGTAATAATATGGCACGGTTTTGACGCATTAATAAGTTAATAAGAATCAGATAAATGCTTCAACTTGTTATAGAATCTTGTCACTGTATGCGTAAAGTTTGAGGATATGTGTGGACGAGACTAATCTAAGAATTTAAAAATTACGTAAAATGTCACAATTATGCTTCAAAGTAATTGTTTCAATGTCTTTTTCTACGTCACAACGTAAAATGTCATAATTGTATTTAGACTTACTTAATTCAATGCCCCTTTTTAAGTCACAATGATTTTTTTTATACCTTGCAAGTCCGTAAAAATCTAATTTCAGTTATAATGATCAAAGTCATTAGACAATATTCTACAGAATGATCGAATCGAAAGCGATTATGAAATTACAATTCGTCTAATATTCATGATAACAATCGTGCATAGCTAAACAGTATCAGTGTGCAATATCTTGCCATTAATCATTCTCATTTTTTCTTACTTATCCATAGGTGCACGAAACTGACGAACGATCAGTCCTTTGGATCGATCGCTCATTTGCGCATCGAGAACGCCGGCGAGATACAATTGGGCCCGAACGCCCTGCGGGCCCGCGGTCTTCAGCAATTAGAGTCCATCACCATCGTCGACACACGCATAGTCGAGCTAGATCGCACAGCCTTCAATGGTATCTCGTACCTGTTTGCCGTCAACTTGACACGCAACGGCCTGCAGGACATCCATCCGAACACTTTCCAAAACAACACGCAACTCAGCCTGCTCACGATCGCCGATAATCCGCTTAAGCACATGCACGACTCGAGACCGACGAAGCACTATCTGCTGCACGCACCCTCGGTCACCGATTTCGACTTCTCGAACAACGGAATATCGCGGTTGAAACGCACCGCCTTCTCCAAGATGCACAGTCTCAATTTCATCAATCTACGCGGCAACCGGCTAAGAGAAATCGACAGCACGATCTTCGACACCCTGGACCAGCTCTTGGAAGTGGACCTATCGGATAATATCCTAAATGAAATCCCCATCGATCTGTTTGTTGACAAAGATGTGCAAATTCTTCGTGTCGCTGGTAAGAGTAATGGCACATGTATCACAATACTATTTATTTATAATTAAAGCGAGAGAATTTGTCATTTAAAATCCAATTTACATTCCAGTAATGTTTACACGCATAATTATACCACTGCTACGCTAAAATTATTAAAATCAGAAATGCTTGATTAAATTTACAGATATAATACAAACCTAATCGGGTTATTGCTTCAAAATTTTAGTTCACTCATGCCGATGAGTGAGTAAAAATTTAATTCTTGTGACTGTGAAACTAATTAATACAGAAAAAATTATTTTGCATCTTTTAGGAAATAATCTATCGACACTTGCCACCATAAGTTCCTCGAAACTGACGACGCTTGACGCCTCTAGAAATAAGATCAAGGCAATCGGCAAAGAGGATCTGGAAGGCGTACCATTATTGGACCAATTATATGTTAAAACGAATAATTTGAAGAGAATTCACCAGCACGCTTTCAGCAAGCTCGATCAATTACAATATCTAGATATCAGCGATAACAGGCTCTCCTTGTTAACTGAGCACCATTTCAAGTTGAATCCAAGACTGCAGATTCTGCTGATGAACGACAACCCCGGTTTGCAAGAACTGCCAGTTTTTAAAACTTACGGCCTGGAACATAATACATTCAGGTGAATACATCACTTTATTTTAAGAAACAAATAAATTAGTCGGTATTCAATAATCGTCGTTATTTCACAGCATTATCCGTTTCGAGTGCGCGAACTGCGGCTTGGACAGCATCAAGCTAGGCACGTTCGACGAAATGCCAGCGTTGACTCGGCTGAAACTTGCAAATAATCGGTTGGCCGACCTGCCCGACGGACTTCTGGACAATCTTTCGTCTCTTCGAGAATTGGATCTGTCCAACAACTTCATCTCTACCCTCCAACCCAACATGTTCCGCGGTGCCGTCTCTTTGAATAAGCTAATTCTCTCCCGCAATCCCTTGAGAACACTGCAAGTGACGCCGTTCCTGAGCATCCCGGGACTCTTCAAGCTGGACGTGAGCCGGTGCAATCTTGAACGGGTCTGGAGCGAAGCTAGAGTACCGTTGAAGAGCCTTCGGTGAGAAATTTACAGAGATTTGATATTTAAAACACGATTTACATCCTGATGATATTTAGAATGATACCCAGCGAGAAGTGAGTCGTCAAAACGATGTCGATTCTCGCTGGGTAGTAACTCAAGTGAACTAAAATTATTAAAATCGCATTGCGATTTATACTCCTTCGCGGACTATCGTATTTCAGAATTCTCTTTTAATAATATTTGAAGCTTTCATAAAACTTTTTGCACAAAATTATGACAATCTTATGGCATGCTAAAATATTCATTTACTACGACATCGAGATATTCGTTGATCAAGTATCTTACATTTTCGTTTCTGGTTAGGTTCTTGTCGGTTCGCGGTAATCTTCTACGGCGAATCACCGTCGAGGAACTTAAGGCCATGCCGCATCTCACCAGTCTGGATTTAACGCACAATCCCCTGGATTGTGACTCCGACTTCAGCGAAGCCTTGCAATGGCTCAACGATCACGGCGTTGCACCGACAGAAGTACTTGAGTGAGCATTCATGTTCAGTCGCCAGCTAAATATGTCACGTAGAACTTCTGCCAATCCACCGTGATTTTTTTATAGGCTCGTCAGTGACAAGTTTGATATTGAAGATAATGATAAGATGGATATTAGTCAGTGGACAGACTTGGCGAGGATAGTCTGCGATGGAATCGAGGATGGTCCACCGGGAAGATCGCTTCCTGGCAAGGGCACACACCGGAAAGATATTCTCCTAGATGTCGATGTTGTTGAAGACTCCGATCCTCTATTGAAAAACGAGCTCGATAACGATGAGGTAAAACAACAAGCGTTTCGAAACCTGTCTTAGAATATTTCTTCTACATACTTTCACTAATTAAGCCGCGGTCCAATTCACGCTCGCAGTGCTGTGAGCATCAATCTGTCTTCGTTGCACATCAAATGTTAAACGAAGATTGAACTGTGCTTACAGCGCTATAAGCGCGAATCGAGCCGCGGCCCTAGTTAACATCTTTCAACATCACAATTTATATAATTTTAAATTTCTCGGTAATATCATTGTATATCGATCTTCTAAATTGTAATGACAACGCGCTTGTCGCAGAAGCTGAATATCGATCACGGCATGCAGCATGTCGACGAGCCGCGGCTCATGGGGGATCAGGAATACGACGAGGACTTTGCGGTCACCACGGAATATCACACTTGGTACAACTTGAGACCCGGCTTCAAAGTCTGGCTGGTTTCCGGTACCGTTCTGTCTGTTCTGGTGGTCTTCCTGTTGGTAGCGCGCATCGCCTGCTGCTTGGCGAACAAACGAGGACGGGGTCCTGTGATCAGGCCACCCCTGATCCTCCGTCAGGGTCTGGTCGACAACAAGAACTGCGGTTTGGTGTACAAACCCCTGCAGGAGGAAATAGCCACGCCTCACATGCCGAAGCGAGGTAGCTTCTACTCGAGCAGCACCTTCCACTACGACAAAATCGTACCAGAGAGGGTATAAGAGAACTTGTTTCTTGATGAATTGAGTGGCCGGGGCGACCGACCGACGTGATTGGTCGTGAACGGGCTGTCGAAGATCATTTTGCGCCGTTCTCGCGAATTAAGAAAAGTTCTTCAGACTGTTATTGGGTCAACGACGAAGCCGATGAGGATAATTAGACAGAACTCCTTCGACCAATCTAACCATATGCCTCAATCATGCCTCGACATATGATTTTTTGTTGGCAAATTGTTGTACATCGTTTTTATTAAAGGAGTGTAACTATGAGCATTTAATTCGACTACCTAGAAACGTATACGACTGATCGAAACGCATGTTTCTTCTAGGCTTTGTCATGTTCTCCAAGTTTCTACAAAACACGTGATTAAAAATCGTTGATAATTACTATTAACTCGAAGATGCCTGATAGAAGTAAATAACGAATAGTCTTACAACGTCTTAGATATATAAACGCAGTACTGTGTTGCAACCATACATAATCGAGTATTTTTTTGTAAGGAATATTGAAAAATTATATTATTTTTTACAAAAAGTAAAGTTACATAAAAATTATAACAATGTACTTATTATTTGTAAGTCCAAAGCTTTGTAATAGCTCTATTCGGTTAAGCAGCCAGTTTTTGAAGCGAGTAATTGAAGGAAAAGTAGTACTGCTTGGAAGCGTATTTAATCATCAAATGCTGCATGTATAATCATTTTACATGATGTAACTTAATAATAATAATACTGCGGAAATTGGGCAAAAGTATGTTTATTGATGGACGAATGAGAGAATTATATGTGACAAATATTAAATTTTATATGAAACGGAACGAGAGAGTTCACTGTAGGATGCCCAGTCATAGTAATATATGCCAACAGTATCATAAAACAATCTTTAACTATAGTGACAATATTCTCATTCAGCGAGAAGTCGAAAACTTACGTCCAAACTAACATTTTGTACGTACGTTGCGCCGCTGCACATGCACGAGCTCTATTATGCTATTATATAAATAAATAAATAAAATATATATATGTGCTGTAAATAATAAATATTGTTTTAATAAAATTTTAATTAGAATTAAATAAAATTCAAATCAATGTCCTACCTTGATCGATCAAACTGCAAAAAGGGTAGATTTATGACAAACGGAAGAAAATGTTAAAAATCGAGACGGTCACTGCGATTCAAGAAGGAAAATATACTTCGTTTATTACATTTTTCCAAGTGATCAATATTCAATCAAGGTTCAATGTGGGAATAAAACGTGTACAACTAGTATGCTTATAGAGATAGATGACGTGGAACTGAATAAGCTTGATTGAATAACTTCTATCGCAACAAGAACCCGACGCGATAAACTTATGCGGAATAAAGACAGTCGATCAAAATCAGGCCAGAATCATTGACGCACATTGAGCGACAACTTTTTGCATTGCATTCAAGGTATTCTGAAATATTAAAATATTCTACTGGTGTAAGGAGTGGCAAGGTTTCACGGTATTACGTAAAAAATATATCGTGTTTAATGCGAATAAAATATTTAAAATATTCAACATTTTGCTTATTATAAATTACAAAAGTTAGATTAACTATCGTTGTACCTTTTTACGACAGGTCTTTTAATCGTACATACATACCTACATGTTGTACGTTTATATTAGCTCCAAAATTCATAATTGATACAAATATTGAATCCTTCAATAAAATTATTCAAATTATAAATTAAGTTTCACCTCTAGAAATTTAATTAAACAAATAGTAAAAATTCTAAACTGTGAAATTCTTAGAATATTTATACGTTGGAAGTTTTATTTCCATACAAAATCGTTTTCATTGAATGTACGTCATTCGTCAAAATGTATCAAATATAGTAAAATATTATACCTTTCGTCTCAAATTATAAAGAGTGACATTCTTGATTTCTAACATTTGCTTCTTTCTTATAAATATCTATTTTTGGCACATGTTCAATTCACACTGTTCGATATAAATTTCATTCGATTTAAATATTCAGATTGTCGAAAATCAGGAAATTATCTTTTAACTTTATCTTGCTTTAAGCCTGAACGACTAACAGCAAACAGCGCACTAAACGCAGCTCGGTAAAGTTCTATTGCTACAGTCCTGTTCACATATGAATGCGAACACACGTATAACGGAGCCACCTCATCAGAGACCTAAGTGATAAACATGTGTAGTCGGAAGAGGGGGAGTACGAACTGGTTGTGGTATATCAAGTCGAGAGTGAAGCACGAGAGTCCGTGAAGAACGTTACTCCGCAGTATTTTCGATCGAAAGACCTGTTGAAATTCGTTTCCACCAGCGCTACTTCGGCATTTCGTTCAGACGATCGCTCCTAAAATATATTTAAAATGCTGCCAAGACGACGTGTCATTGATCTTCTGCAAGTCATCTCATCCCAGTCGTAAGTAAACTACCGCATACCAAAAATCTTTCTGTATGGAATGAAGTAATATAATAGCGACGTTATCAAATAAATCGCGAAACGTTTTAATCGCACGTGCTGTCTCTATTACAGATTAATAAATACAATAAAAGTAAATTTGATTAAGAAGATACATTACATCTTCACTTATCTAAGAATAATTTCGATATGAGCAACCATAAATATAATATTAAAAATACTGCTTTATATTATTTAAGTATCGAAAGTAATTTCTATCCTTTGTGCAAAGATATTATGTAAGAAACGTAAAAAATGTGAGGATATAACAATATTCGTGACAATCTGTCAGACGAATCTACACGTGCCAATCTGTTAAAGTAGCGCACGTTAACTCGATAGCGATTCTCGATGGATTTATCTCGAGAAGAAGAATAGAAAAATATTACAAGTTTAACGCGGAATGTGAACTTTAAATTGTCCTAAATTTAGATGCAAATGTCCAGCGCACGGAAATCCAGGAGCTACCAGCGTACGGGATCACGGAATGGCCCGGAGCACCGCAGCAAACGTCGCGGTCGACAAGGAATATGCTTTCGAGGTAAAATTTGTATAAGGTGGAGGAAAGACTATGAGGGGCTCTCCTTAAAGTTAATGCGCTGATTTTATCGCAGCTCTCGTGATTATGAAATCGAAGGTCTCCCGCGTACGTTGTGTAGTCAGATAAGAATTGTTTTTGCAGCACTCGAAGCCGCCTTTTCGAGCTCCTGATAATAATCTGAATATTACATCTTAATATGTTAGATGTAAATGTACTAACAAAACTAAAAAGGAGATTATTATTTAGAGATTATTAGATATAGGAAGAGTTTCATTTTAGAAATTAGATGTTGAATTCTCTTCAATAGTTCAATTATTTTTTCCCTTGCATCAGTGAAATATTGTAGGAATAGGAAAATCCGGTAGTTTTAAGATGACAATAAGACAATGTTCCCGAGCAGGTGGAAAATAATATACAATAAGAGAGCGAATAATATCCGCGGAGAAGGTCGGGCGGCTGGTGAGACAGCGCAGAGTCGAGATCGAGCAGCCGAAAGCTAAGGACGTGTAAAGCATTCGTGTAAAATAAAGAGGACTCTACAATATTAAAAATAATAGCTATATCTATTAATTTATGTATAAATTACTAGAAAATTACGTAAAATTTTAGATGGCCTGTTCTACAGTGCGGTATGGAGTAGGAGTGACGAGAGAGTTAGGGATGGACATGCAAAATTTGGGAGCGAAGAAAACGTGTCTGATGACGGATCCCAACTTGGTGAATTTAACTCCCGTAAAAACTGCCATCAACAGCCTCTCCAAATATGGAGTTCAATTCGAGATTTACGATAAAGTGCGGGTAGAGCCAACTGAGCAAAGCTTGCAAGATTCGATCGAGTTTGCCAAGCGTGGAAATTTCGACGCTTTTATAGCGGTACGTATGTAGGAAACGCGATAAGAGATTATGTATAACGAGAAAGAGAGAGTGTAACTGGTTCTTAATGTCGCGTTCTTTATATATAAAATCGGCAAATAAGCATAACGCTTTTTTTACCGACTGCGTGTTAAATCGTTAATCTATTTACTTTGTAATTTAATTGGCTACCTCCACCTGTGCCAGGTCCTAAATTTTTTACGTTTCTAATTGCTTTATATCTTAAAAGGACCCAGTTAAAATTTAGTTGCCTATTTACTTTGATTACATATTTTGAATTACTATATAATTATACGGTTATCATTATATTATTATTAATTCGCAGGTTGGCGGTGGTTCCGTGATGGATACCTGCAAAGCGGCGAACCTGTACAGCTGCGATCGAGAGGCCGATTTCTTGGATTACGTAAACGCGCCGATCGGAAAAGGTAAACCGATCCGAGTTCCTCTGAAACCGCTCATCGCCGTCCCGACAACTTCCGGTACCGGTTCTGAGACAACTGGAGTATCTATCTTTGATTACCGACCACTAAAAGCCAAAACAGGGATCGCAAACAGGTAACGTTCGCCATGCGTCGCTGGACAGAGAGAAGATATGCAAAAGAGTCAATTCGTTAACTTTCTCCTCGCAGATCTCTACGTCCAACGTTGGGAATCATCGATCCCGAGCACACTCTGACTTTGCCGGAAAGAGTGTGTGCTTACTCCGGTTTCGACGTGCTCTGCCACGCTTTGGAGTCTTTTACGGCGATACCCTACACAGAGAGGACGCCATGCCCACCGAATCCAATTCTGAGACCAGCTTATCAAGGCAGCAATCCTGTCAGCGATGTTTGGGCGCGATATGCCCTCCAAGTTATGCGCAAGTAATTAATCAATCAATTACTTACGAATTGCATCCGTCCAATATCTGCGTACGTACCTAAAACAGGGATGATCCAAGTCAGAGGAATAATAGTTAAATTTTTATCAAGCCGGAAATAAAATTTCAAGGTTACAGAATATCAAAATATAAAGTACTGTTCTAATTAAGATTAAAATAAATATACTAATTCTAAAAGTATCTCTCTTGGCAAATATCAAATACGTTGAAGAAGTAGAGTATTTTTTCATTTTGTATCAATTTGATAAACACAAATTAAATGCCATATTAAAATCTGAGAATCTAAAAAAGTACGTACGCGTTGTCTAAGACCTATTTTATAAAACACTTGTAAATTAGTAGGAGATATTTATAGTTAACATTATTATTTGATCTCTTGCATAGATACTTTAAGCGAGCAGTTTACAATCAAGATGATTTGGAAGCGAGGAGTCATATGCATTTAGCAAGTACAATGGCGGGCGTTGGTTTCGGAAATGCTGGTGTTCATCTTTGTCACGGACTTTCGTATCCTATCAGCGGAAACGTTCGAAGTTTCCAACCAAAAGTAATTATGAACTAGGATTGAAATATACATGTACTACTTTTACCATTGCTTTCAATAATAGTAGAGGACAGTCCTCTAGTATGAGATAACCGGTTTTCAACGTCCAAATTCAATCACAGATCTTTTTTCGCGACGATTACACGATCCAACAATCAGTTTCCACTACACAATAAAATCATGGTGAAACCAACAGATTGTGCCAATTAATTTGTCACGTTTGTCTCTGTGGAAACAGGTGGAAAGAGACAAAACTTAATTAAGTTAAACCTAAAACCCAAAACCCAAAACCCCTGGGATATATCCTTTTTACATTATCTTCCTGAATCTTATATCAAACTAATTATTTTTGAAATTTTTTCATGTTTTTATTAAATCGCTATCTTATTTAAGGGATACAGCAACGATCACCCCATAGTCCCTCATGGTCTATCCGTGGTAATCTCCGCGCCAGCCGTGTTTTCCTTCACCGGAACCGCATGTCCAGAGAGGCATCTGGAAGCTGCGGAACTGCTTGGTGTGGACGTCAAGAATGCCAAGCGGGCCGACGCGGGCAAAATTTTGGCCGACACTGTGAAAGAATACATGCGTGTTATGAAGGTCGAAAACGGCTTGACAGAACTTGGTTTCAAAAAAGAAGACATTCCTACGTTAGTTCAAGGCACTTTGCCTCAGGTAAGTAACATTCAGTGAGCGATGTGTTCCTTATCAAATGGAACACTGTAATAAATAATATAAAAATAATATAGCATAATGTGCATTCTCCCTTTTAAAAGTGCACATTAAAATTTATTTTTTCTTCCCTTTTTTCAGCATCGCATTACGAAACTGGCCCCACGTGAACAGTCTGAAGAGGATCTTGCGCAATTATTCGAAAATTCATTCACCATTTATTAATTAACGTTTATCATTTAACGTTTACAAAATTAACATTTTATTAATTGTACATAAATAAAATTGTAATATAAGTAAATACTATTTTTGTACACCAAACAATAGAATTTATTAAAAATCGCACAAATTTTATTTAGCTCGAAAGATTTACGTTGCAAAATGTAAATAAAAATATTCAATTAACTTGGAAGTGACTATATTTTATTATGTATAAGTCATTTAAATAAAATAATTTTCTTAGAATTTTTAATAAAGTTAATATGTATAAAATATTCTCACTCTTTTCATTTGAGAAACATTTATGATTACACTTACAATGCGTTTTTAATTGTGTAATAAGATATATTGTACAATTAAAAACGATCTTATTGGACGACTTCAAGAATTCACAATATTCTCTGCATAGACATAGTAAGAATAGACCGAGCGTATCTTGTAGGCAATGAAGATCAGGTAGAAAAGGATAGAAATAGATACCGTATAGCTTTCTCTCTTTATTCAAATGTAATGTGTGCAAATTATCACACGCTCAATTGTGTCTCCCCACTCTTTTTTACATCCTCCCACTTTCTTTTTATTAGAGCGAGAAAGGTGTACAGTATCTATTGTCAGTCTCTTTCTATTTAATCCTCAGATTTCCGGTCTTTAGACTAATATTACATTTGTCGTACGACAAATTTTTCAAGCGCCTTGATTGGTTTCTGAATAGAAAATTTCTAGATACTCGAGAATTTTACTATCCCGCAGTCAATCACACACTTAAAAAATTTGTCGTACGACAAATGTAATATTAAGCTTATGCTCGGTCTATCCTTACTATGGCTGCGTTCCGATATTCACTGCCAGTACTGAAAATCTATAGTTTACGTCACGTATACCATGATGTAAAAAGAAAGGTGTATCATTGCGCATAGCGGCGGCGGCACGATGAGCGAGCCAATGAAATTTGGGTCCAAATGCACATAGCTACTGCAAGAAAGGTGTATCATTGCGCATAGCGGCGGCGCACGATGAGCGAGCCAATGAAATTTGGGTCCAAATGCACATGACTACTGCGCATACACGATGTTGTTACACCTTTCTTTTTACATCATGACGTATACTACACATTTTCAGTACGGACAGTGAATATCGGAACGCAACATATATATATGGTTCTCTGGAAAGTTTCGCAATAAGCTTCACACCATTTACCATTTGACAAAATGTCACCCGAGATTTCTTAAACCCTTCTCTTCTCTTTTTTAATATAAACGTTGGACCAAAATAAGAACAAAATTATGGCAGTTGTAGGAATCAATGGATTTGGAAGAATAGGAAGAATGTGTCTTCGCGCATGTCTCGAGAAACGTATTGAGGCACGTTTCTAACTGTACGAAAAAAATATAAGTATACTGTATTACTGATTAAATCTTAACGATATGATGACAAATCACACAGGTAAAATTAATCAACGATCCATTCCTCACTACGGAATACATGATATACCTTTTTAAACACGACTCTACTCACGGGCCGCATCCTTTATCCCTGGAGTGCGACAACGAGTTTATAGTTTGTGGTGGTAAATACATTTTTAGTTTCTTTATATTTAAAAAAAACTAAATCAGAATGGAATCGTATAAATAATAAATATTTTATTTTATTTTTCACGTAGTGCACATTTCAATAAACTTAATATTCTCTACGAGACGTGAAGTAAAAACTATTCGCATATAACCTTTGTATAATTGCCGGAAAAAGTTTTACGCTCTATTAAATTTCGGTCTCTGCACACGTACTTTTTACTTTACTTAACGTTTAAGAACACGGTGTAAACACTATTTTATATAAAAAATTATGGACATATTTATCGTTTAATGAGAGACAAGAATCGCCACGTCGCATGAAAAGCAACCGTGGAAAATACCATGGAAGAATAAGGGAGTGACGTACGTAATAGAAGCTAGCGGAGCATTCACTGCACTGGAGAAAGCAAGCGTGAGATTTTTTTATTTCAATTTCTCCTTGCAACAGGAAAACATTGACTATTCACTGTTTTCAGTGATAATCCACTGGATTGACTTTCAGAGATTAGAAACTCAGAGATAGAAGGAATAAATTTTGGTTTTAACCGTTTTAAATTTTATATTAACATTTGTCACATTGAACAAATTTCCTCAGACTGTTCTATAATTCCACGTCGTACGTTAAGTTACCTAAACGTGTCTGTGCCAAAAATTATGGTATATCATACAGTTGCACATGGACGGCGGCGCGAAACGAGTTATTATCACGGCACCGTCGGTCGACGCGCCGATGCTCGTCTTCGGAGTCAATCACACTTGTTACAATCCCAAGAGAGACGGCGTCATTTCCGCCACATCCTGCACCACAAACTGCGCAGCTCCGATCGTCAAAATAATGCACGACAACTTCGAGGTTCTCGAGGCGATGATCACCAGCATACACGCGGTGACAGCGTCCCAAAATACCGTGGACGGTCCGATAGAGAAGGTTCCTTAGTGACGACTTGTTTTGCTCTAAAAAAATTGGTTCTCCCTTTTTCACGCCTTTTTTTCTATTTAATTCGATGAATATCATAAAAAAGTTTCACGAATGAACGTTTTCTCTGTTTAGCCACAAATCTGTGGCGCGATAAAGAATACACTCTCGTTTTATTAAATTGTTTATTCCTTTTTGCGCGAGTTGAGGAACTTGTGGTTAATCGTTATAAAAGTTTCACGCTTCGCACGGCTAGCCTAATATTACATTCGTCGTAGGACAAATTTTTCAAGCGTGCCGATTGGCTGCAGGATAGAAAAGTTCTCGAGTATCTGGAAATTTTCTAGTTTGTAGTCAATCAACGCGCTTAAAAAATTTGTCGTAACGATAAACGTAATATTGGACTGTTATTTCGTCGCAGCTTCGACCTACCACACTGTGGAGAGACGGTAGAGGCGCTCTCCAGAATATCATTCCCACCGCGACCGGCGCGGCCAAGTCGTTAGCCAAAATTATCCCCGAGCTGAAAGGCAAGATTTCAGCCATAGCGTTCAGGGTGCCGATCCCCAACGTTTCATTATGCGACATGACATTCAGGTAATCGGCGGATGCGGATTCGCCGCGAGTTCGACACTCCCTAAAAGTCAATAAGTGGATTATCACTAAAAACAACGAATAGTCACTGATTTACAGTTATGAGTATACCACTGCAATTTTCAGTAGTACATTTATAACAGCTAATCAGTGACTATTCACCGTTTTCAGTGATAATTCACTGATTGATTTTTAGAGAGCAGACAACCGACCCCGTAGAATCCGCGCTGATGTAGAAAACCGTACTCGGTTTCGTATAAGGCGAAAGTGCAATTTCGTTAATTTATGTTCGGGACCGGAATTGGATTATCATGCTCGATACCAAGTTCTTTTCTTATACGCGCCACTGGAGGCAGTTTCTGATCTCTGATACCGCCTCAGGGTCAATAAACCGACGACGTACGAGGATGTGAAAGAGATGATGAGGGAAGCGGCCGAGGGACAGCTGAGAGACGTGCTGGGATACACGGAGGACGATTGTGTGTCGTCAGACTTCAACCATACGACTTATTCTTGCGTGTTCGACGCCAAGGCCGGCATTCCGCAGACCAGCACTTTCATCAAGATCGTCGCTTGGTAATGATTTCGCTGAACCGCCTTCGAGACGCCGTCGTAAAGCTCAATTTATAAAGAAATATATGGCCCGAAATATGCGAACTTATGCCCCTGATATTATAATATGCAGATAAAAAATGCAATTACATATATCTTGACTTGATCCTGAGATCTCTTTTATCTTTGCTCAGGTACGACAACGAATATGGTTATGCGTATCGTATAGCCGATTTGGTTCAATACATGTACAACGCCGATTCCGGTAATGTTCCTGTAACTGGACAAGTTCTCGAGCATGGCGATGATTAGGAGCAACTTGCCAAAGTTAGAACCTAAACTTTTGAACACGCAATTGTATTCCATTCTAAATTCTCACGAATGCACATCTTACCCAGTAAACACCGAAGTATCAATTACATTGCATTTATGTTACAATTTCTCACTCGACAATGTAAATGTAATGTAACACATATGTTAAATTGTAATGTAAATGCAATGTAACTGATGCTCGGTGTTCTCTGGGTTATCATTTTTATGCAACTATAGTATCAAAAGTTGTCAAATTAAAAAAATAAATAAATGTAACAGTATACATATATACTCAGTTTACTAATTTTAAGTTCAGTAACTTTTACTCTGATTGGTCAAATTTCAATCTAATCCCAATCTCAATCCGTAGTCTGATACGGACTTAACGCGATCTATTTCCTACGAGAATCTCGATCATCTCCTACGCACGCGATCGTCTCGTTCGAAAGTCATTAATATTTATCAATCGCGTTTAAATAATTGTCGCGATCCGTAATCATATCGTTAATTTCTACGGTGGTTTATCGCGACGACGACGCGACACGACGAACAACCGCCGCGTACGGTTTGCGATTCGTTTAAAATGCGACTTCTACTTCAAATTATGCGATATTCGTCGCGACAAATCACCGTAGAAATTAACGATATGATTTGACATCCATTTTAGTTCTGATATCCACTTTTAGTTTAATATCAATGATTAAGTACTCGACCCGTTACGAAAAATCAGTAACACTCTCGTGTTATACCGGCATTTCATGCATGCAGCACGGAACACAACCAAAATTGGGCACTGCATTACCCGCTTGAAAAATGGGCATAGAACCATGCACGCACCAAGCGGAGACTTTAGGCTTGTTTTCTGTTCCTACACTAGTGAACTAGTGCAATAAATTGGAGTAAAGCCTATCACACAATAGGAAAGCACAGGCAATAGGAATAGGGAATAGAAATAGGGAATAGAAATCTATGTAATGCCAAGACACAATGGTTCGTTGGCAATAGGCGTGCTGTCCAATCATCTGCATTTTAAAACCACGTGTCTGTCCCAGTCTCCACTGTGATTGGTCAGGTAGGTCAGGCACAGGGAATAGGGAACAGAAATCCAACGCGTTGGATATTCTGTTCCTATTGCCTATTCCATATTCCATTGTGCGTCGATACACGGTTTCTGGTAAGTTGGAATTTAGTTATTTCTGTTGCCTGTGTTATTCCCTATTCCTATTCCCTGTGCTTTCCTATTGTGTGATAGGCTTAAGACAAGCATATTTTTTCTCATTCTAGCTTACTGCACTAGTTCACCAGTGCAGGAACAGAAAACAAACCCTTTATCGGCAGTGCTTGAAAAGTGTAGCGAAATAGTCGCAAAAATGAAAATGGCCGTAAGGCGCTGGAATCAACCGAGCGAACGGTATCAAGTAAAACGCCCGGCGTGGCCGCTCTCAGGTTTCTCTCTGATATTATTATCTAATGCGTCGTCTACGATACGTGGAGTAAGCTTGGAGTAAGGTGTAAGAGAGAGCCATAACTTGTAGCTTTTGGTGTAAGGAAGCTAAAACACGGGCATGGTTTTTAAAGTATTTGTAACACTGATTGATGGCATTTTGATTCACCGAGGGTAAACCCAAGGGCCTGTGTCCACGATGCCAGAACTTGATCCAAGTTCCAGTTCTGAGAGATCTGTAGCCAATCAACTTGCAGCTTTTCCGTAAGAGATGCAAGTTGATTGGCTACACATTTTTCAAAACTAGAACTTTGACACAGTTCTTGGATCGTGGACACAAGGCTTCAGGGCTGAAGTAGGAGTAAGAAGTAAAATTGATTTACTTTCTAAAGCCCAATGTCCACGATG